TCTCCCTCTCTCCCTCTCTCTCTCTCTCTCTCTCTCTGGATCAGAGCGGTGTGGCTCTGCTGCTGCTGCTGGAGTCTCCGGCTGGCTCGAGGAATGTGCGGAGCGTGAATTTAGTGGTCTCTCGTGTGGATTAGCGCTGGGATTGCGTTGGGAATACCGCCGGATTGTGTGGAGGATGAGCCGGCAGCGGCACGTGTGGATTACAGAAGCAGGAGGAACCTGAGAACAGACGCGTTTCTCGCCAGCCGCGGACGTCTGCCGTCTGCCGCTGGAATACTGTCTCCGGAAACGTGCTTAGCTCCGGGAGTTTAGGGACCATGAACTCTGGAGTAGCTGTGAACGAGGGAAGCGAGGTAAGACTGCGGCGTGCGTCTCTCTAATGATCTGCAGTCGCCTCAAACCCACACGCAGGGAAAGACTTTTGCTCGTGTTTCTCTGCTGTCACTTTTAAAGTTGCAGGAGCGTCGCAGTATTTCTGCTTCATCATGTGATTCTCATCCTCACTCTCTTCAGGGTCAGATCGCGTCTGAACGCTCTCCTGCACCGGATATGACTGTCAGATGTGCTTGTTTTAAACTTTTTTAGCAACAGAATCTAGAACGGAGAGATTAGAAAAAATTAAATAGAAAAAAATGTGATCTATTATAAAATCATTAGCTTATAAAGTATTATTAGTTAATAAAAATACATTGAAAAGTGAGCATGAAGTGCAAAATGTGTTCATATAAAATGAAAACGTATATAAAATACACCTTGATAAACATTTTGTTTGCTATATATGCCTCTCGTTGTTTTTTCAGCATCTTGCGCCATGAGCTCCACATTTTTAAGAATGATGCGTTAAATATAATAAATGTATAGGTATAATTAATATTATAATTTTATTTATTTACTTATTTGTTTCTTTGTTTATTTACAGGGTTCCATGTTTTTCAATAAGCAATTTTATATTCAATTTCATTTCTCTAGCTATGCTTAGTTCTCAGTTCTTCACTTTTTCTGAGTAGAATTGTTCTAAAAAATGTATTTAGAAAATCAGTATGCCGTCAAAATGAACATATTGAAATAGAAATAATTTTTTGGCTATCTATGCCACTCATTATTTTAAGAATGTTAAATATAATAAATGTATATGTATAATTATTATTATAATTGTATTTATGTATTACATATTAATGCAGGGTTCCGTGTTTTTTAATAAACATTTTTATATTCCGTTTATTTTTTTCTAGTTATGCTTAGTTTTTAGACTCATTTCTCTTTAAAGTATCTTTAAAGTATAATAATTATAATTTTTTTACAGAGTTATATTTTACATAAACTCAAGTCTTACAGAGTAATATAATTTAGACTATAATAATTAGTATAATTGTTTATAAATAATAATTTATATATATATAATATTTTTATTATTATTATTTTTAAGAAAATCTTTACGCTTATGACATCTTCCCAAACAACTGGAAAAATCATAAATTCATTGGTCAGAAAGTGTGTGAACACCGTGTATATAAATTTTACATTAATACATTTTGCACTATGTTCACATTTTAAATATTTTAAATATTTCATTAAATGCATGATAAATGCATAATGAAATAATTTAGTTTATTTCAATCTTCCCTCCATTGAACTAGTGCTTGTTGTGCATCAATTCAAGATTTATCTGGAGAAAACACCTTGTTTTGATTGCATAATGTTGCAGTCCATAGATTTGGATATTTCCTGAGTCACAGCAGAGAAAGAGACGTTTAGCTCGGTGTGCTTGTAATGTCTCGTCGTGTGTTTTATGAGCTGCTGTTGTTGCTGTTTGAGTTTCAGGGATGTAATCGAATCCCGTCTTACTCGCTCCACACCAAATCACATGAAAGCCACACTTAATAGGGAGCACCTTTGATTGGGACCTGCTAGCGTAACGTTTTAATTGGCTCCGAGCAGCTGCTGCTTGTCAGGGAAGCCTGTTTTATGGGCTGGTGTTTAAGGATGTTTACAGATGTTATCCGCTCACATTGATCACAGATTGTTCTTGACGTGAGGAGTCTTACAGCGCTTTAGGAGCATCTCTGGGGATTTTACCAGCCAAATGACGCGTTGTTGATTCTGAATTATCCCTCCGTTTTATAAAAATGAACTGGAAGTGTTTTTACAGTAATGTTCTCAAGGTCAAATCCTGTAGAGTTGCAGCGTTTTGTATTCTTGAGAATCAGGGGATTTATATTAGGCACTTGAGCGCCATTTATTTATTTTAAATTAATTTTTATTTATTTGTTGTAAGTGCATTTATTTATTGGTGTTTTGTTGATTGCATAAGAAATAATTCTGAATTATATCTCAGTTTGTAAAAATGAACTGGAAGTGTTTTTACAGTAATGTTCTCAAGGTCAAATCCTGGAGAATCATTTTTTTTGTATTCTAGAGAAATAAATTAAAACGGCAGATGTATTTATATTATACACTTGAGCGTAATTTATTTATTTATTAAAAGTGCATTTATTTATTGGTGTGTTGTTGATTGCTGATTTTTGTATATTCTTAAGAAACCAATGCAGCAGATGTCAATGGATTTAGATTAAGCATTTAAGTGCTATTTATTTACGTTTATTCAAATAAATTTAATTCTTTATGTATTTTTATTTAATTATTTTAAGTGCTTTTATTTATTTTAATTAATTATTTTTATTTATTTTTATTATTTTTATTTATTTTACTTTATTAAATTGTATTATTTAGTTACTTTTTGTATGTTTATTTGTTTTAGAATAGAACATACTTTAGTTTTGATTGTGAAATTATTTAATTTAATTTTTATTAATTTTTTTATTTTATTATTTCATTAATTCTTATTTTTATTGAATTTTTTCTCTTTTAAATTTTTTTTTTTAATTTTTTAATTTTTTAAACTGCCCAGACTATTCAGTGTATGCAAGTGATTTATTTACCAATTTAGTCATTTTGTGCAGTAATAAAGTGCAATAGTTGCTGTTGTTAAACTGTATAAAATACATCAGAAAGCTGTTATAGTTGGCCAAGTATAACATTTTGTGCACATGTGTATGTTATATCTGCAAAGCGCTGTGATTATTGCAGATTTTACAGTTTATTTCCGATGCTGCACTGTTGCCCGCTTCCATTGTAAGTGCATTATTGTAAATACAAGAAGTTGAGACTATATTGTTAGCTCAGGTCGATTATATTAGATTGGGATTTTAATAGTGTATTTAGTAAGGTTAATAATGCTTTCGAAGTATTTCTTGTTATTTGTTAACAAAGGTGATCTTCTTGTAAAGTGTTACCAAAAGAACATTCCTTCAAGGAAGAACCGGTCTAAGGTTGACATGGTTTTGGGATGACAGGAATGCTTCTGTTCTCACGCTAGACGGCCGGGAGACGTGAGACAGAGCTGTCTTTATCTGACGGGAGCGTCTCTCCTCCTGCAGGCAGACGGCCACAAATAAAAGCACTGTTTGATAAGCACAGGGCCGCTGTCTATTTTTGTCTGCGCTTGGCCTCTTCACACTGATTTAGTGCGGCGCTCGTCTCTCTGGCTGTAGTACACACTAAAAGGCACTTTAGATGGGAGGATACTGGATCTGCTCGGAGCTTTCTGATGCTGTGTGTGCATCTGTGGGGTCAAGCAGGAGCCTCGTGTAGAGATCAGACTCCAGGGGCCCGCAAGAGACGCTCTTCATCACCATAATCCCAGATCTTTGTTCCTCCAGCGTTCAGGGAAAAGCCTCACACTCAACTGTTACTGAGCTGAAAACACCGTGCTCTGCTTTCACTTTATGGTGAACATGTCTGTTTTTGATGCATAGGGCAAAATATTTTGTAACTATAAGTTTTCTAGAATAACTAGATAAAAAAGTTTGTTAAGGCAAACTTTAGGTTGGCTTGAAAAGGCCTAGACTGAAAGTTTAAAGCAGTTCTAAAAGCCTAAAGTTTGAACATTTAGATATGTTATCAACATCTATCTAATCTGTTTCTAGCATGATTAGCATGTTTTTAGCATGATTAGCCTGTTACTATCATATTGCTGGCATGATTAGCAAGTTACTAGCATTTCGCTAGCATGTTTCTAGCATGATTAGCATGTTACTAGCATGTTGATAGCAATATTAGCATATGATTAGCATGTTGCTAGCATGACTAGCAAGTTACTATCATGTTTCTAGCATGTTTAGCATGCTACTAGCATGTTGCTAACATGATTAACAAGTGACTAGCATGTCGCTAGCATGATTAGCAAGTTACTAGCATGTCGCTAGCATGTCGCTAGCATGATTAGCAAGTTATTAGCATGTCACTAGCATTTTTTTAGCATGATTAGCATGCTATTAACATGTTGCTAGCATGATTAGCAAGTTACTAGCATGTTGCTAGCATGTTTCTAGCATGATTAGCAAGTGACTAGCATGTAAAAATATTACTACAAAAGTATATAATTATTTATTATTATTATTGTTGTTGTTTTAAATAAATGCTGTTATTTTTAATATTTTTATTGTTATTATCAGTAATAGTTGTGGTAGTAGTAGCACTAGTAAAAATATAATTACAAACGGCTATAATAATATATTATTTTATTATTAAAATATAATTACAAAAACTGTAATAATAATTTACCTTTTTAGTATTGTTGTGCTAAATGCTGTGCAATAATAATAATAATGATAATAAATATTATTATTACTATTATTAGTAGTATTAGTATATAAATATTAGTAGTAGTAGTAATAAAGGTATAATTACAAAAGTAGTAAATACTATAATAATTTATTATTATCTTTATTATTTTGATAAATAAATGCTTTATTCTTATAACAAAAACTATAATAATAAAAAATACTTAATATTATATTATTAAAAAAATACAAAAACTTCCTTTTTCTTATTACTTTAATTATTAGAATTGTTTTCCGTTTTAAACACAGTTTCTACGACTTTCACTTTGAAGCAAAAATATGGCTTTAAACTTGAAAGAAATAAAGATTTGACATTTATCATGATAATTATTGATATCGGCTGATTGTTTTCTAATACACGCGCGCATTGCATGTATTCTGACAGCGCTGCACGACCTCGCAGCAAGTCCAAAGCGTGAGGAAAATCTGCGCTGATATAGTCATCCATAATTGATTTTTTTTTTTTGAAAAGCAAGGCAAAACAGTAAAAAGCACATTTTGGCTATTTAATTTATGCAATGGTGAAAAAAAATTGGGCAAAATACATGGGGGAAAAACTCCCGTATTCGGTATTCGGCCCAGTGTTTAATTTTGTTCGGCTTCGGCCAAGAATTTTCATTTCGGTGCATCCCTAGTTGTTTTTGATGTGAGTAGATGAAATCAGAGACTGT